TGCCTGCCTCTGTCTCTCAAGTGCTGTGATTAATGGCATGTGCTATCACTGCCCAGTTAAAATATTTTATTTCCTAACAACGGCAGTCATACCATCCATCTCCTTTCCCCTTCCTGTCTCTCTGTCCCCATCAAACAAGCAATTGCAGCCTAAGCCACAACCACTGCAACCTTGGTATGGCTTCTGATCAACTAGGCATCTAGTAGTTTGTGTTCAAATATTTACAAGATTCATCAGGGGGGCCAGAATCACACAACTTGGTAATGTAGAAGTAGTGAGGTCTGAGTTATTATTGTTCTAAAATAACAGGGCTTAAATGTCTGGCCATGGATAGAGGGAAGCAGGTCTTGGGGTTTACTTTCTTCCTTGGCCACCAACAGCCTAAGAAGGGTTCTCTCTCCCTCTCTGCCACATTCCCAGGAACATTTCTGGGTTTTGACATAAGAAGACATTCCTCTCTAATTTTCCCTTAGCTTCCCAGTTGTCTTGGTTAGTCTTTTGCTTTGTTTTGTTTTTCAACTTGACATTAGTTGGGATCATCTGGGAAGAGGGAACTGCAGCTGGAAAAAAGAAAGTCTCCAAAAGACTATACTGTAGGCGGGCCTATGGAGCACTTCTTGCCTGATGTGGGACCAACCCTGGGCAGGTGATCGTGGATTATAGAAGAAAGCAGGCTGAGTTAACCTCAGAGAGATCCTGTAAGCACTGTTCTTCCGTGGTACTGTCTGCTTGGGCTCCTGTCTCAGGTTCCTGCCCTTGACACCTCCAGTGACAGGCAAGTACCTGAAAGTGTAGGATGGAATAGGTCGCTTGCATCCTTGGGTTACTTGATCATGGTGTTTTATCGACCACAGAAATCAACTATGACACCAACAATCTTCATTATCAATAAAATTACACCTCCAAAAGTTATGACAATTATGAAAAAAACACTTTGTAACTCTGTTCTGCACATTTCTTCTACAGTATCTAGTGGTTAAGGATAGACACTGAATTCTCTAGTTGATCAGGTACAACATCATTGAAAAAGTGCCAGGGAAGTGGTGGTGCACGCCTTTAATCCCAGCACTTGGGAGGAAGAGGCAGCCGGATTTCTGAGTTCGAGGCCAGCCTGGTCTACAGAGTGAGTTCCAGGACAGCCTGGGCTACACAGAGAAAACCTGCCTCAAAAAACAAAAACAAACAAAACAAAAACAACAACAACAACAAAACTATAAAAAAAATTTTACTTGAAAAATTTCAGTCCATAAGACCTGCTTATATTTTATTTATTTTATATTTTTCAAAGAGAGACTTTGAAAAAGTCTCAAAAGCCAAGTTCAAGTTCACCATTGATAAGGATTTATTTTTGGACTCTGTTATGTTGACTGATCAACTTGGGATTCTTCAACACTTGTTTGTGTCTTTTCAAGGATGTTCTGGCTACTTTTAAGCACAGTGGATTTCTGTACAAATTTTAGGTACTCTCACTTTGTACAAAACCACAGTCTGTTGGGACTACACTCACCATCAATTTAGAGAAATCTGCTAGCCTTTTAGTAAAGCGCCTTTTCGCCCAAGAACAAGGCACAGCTCCATTTACTCTGGCCTCTAACTTCATCACTAAGGTCGTCACTTATTTTTCCTCGGGTTTATTTCTCATTTTTTCATATTTTAGATTTTCTTACTTTAATTGCTACATTTCTTTAAAATGGTAACTGAACATTTCAATTTCTAAGTGTTCATTGTTACTCTGTAGAGATACTTTCTTTATATATATAATCAGTGTGCAGGAGAAATTGAGGGTTTTAAAAATATATACTTATATGTTCCCCTACACATAAAGTTCTGCTTCCCAATTAGCTGAATAAGACAGACCAAGAGGCACATATAATTAGGAAGACACGTGTTGTGACCCTAAGTGAAATTCCTCCGGAAAATTCATTTCAATTATCACATTCAAGAATAACAACTAACCATCCAGGCAAAAATATAGAACTATGTTCCCTGCTACTTATTTAAAAAAAAAAATCACGGCTCACATCAAGATGGAGGAAGAGACGCACTGTAGCAAATGGCAAAGACGAGGGTCATGGTGGCAACGGTCAGAACAGATCAGGACTGTGTGTAAAGAGTAATAAAAAGGAAAGCTGCAGGCCGCTAATCTCAGTCACTATCTCCAAGAGTTATTACAGTTCACATGTCCAAAGTAAAAAGACTACAAACCACTTTAAAATCAATCGTTAGCAACTCTGAGTTCTAACTTGGAGGCTGAAAGAACTTGCTATTTTCAAAACTCCACAGAATAATTACAAAGCTGGATTGTATGGCAACTACAAGAAATCTTCTAAACTTTATCAGAAATCACACAGAGGGTAAACGCATGTGACACGAGGAGAAGACAGACAGAACAAAAGGAGAGCAGATACCACCACCACTGCCCTGTGTGTCCAAAGTGAATGCTAACAATTCCCTATTCTGCCTTCTCTAAGGAGAAACTTCTTTGAAGATGCTATCTCTCAACAAGGTCATGTGTGCTTCAGCATCATTATCCTCTGAGTAACAGTAACAAAGGTCTTGGCTTTAAACTGCCAGAAGAATGACGAGGACAGTAGAGTTGGGCTATGTTCCTGTCCTTTGCTAAAAATTCCTAGGTGAGCACTGCGTGCAATTGCATCACAGGGACTTTAGCAGCACACTGAATGTGTGTCCTGAAAGGACACAGACCAGCAGGCTCAAGGTGACATGGGGAAAGCAACATCAAGAACAGGGAAAGATTTATATAAAGACACAGAGAGATGAAGATGGCCAAGAGAAGACATTATTTCAGAAAAATAAATGGATGACATTCATTCCATCTGCTCTTCCCGTTCATCTCCAAGGGTCACTCATACACACATCTAAAGCATCAAACAAGGTCCATCCTGAGCTAGTCAGACCATCATCATTTTCCTTCAGCTCATTGAATTGGGAACAGGATGAAAGCTTGTGGGAAAATGGCACTACATTATCAAGCGTGAAGACAGTGGAGATCAAACAAACACTGGGCTCCTCCTAACAAATGGAAACTCCCAACTGGTGATTTCCCAATTGTCAACAAAGCCAGACTTAATTTGTTCCTATTACCGCTGTTACTCTGCTGCTTATGCTGAGGGCCATCCAACCAGCGACTCCCTTTGGTATATGAGGCACAGCTGCCTCACAGTGAATTTTACAACACATCTAATATGTCTTTATTGTAAAGTGCCAATGTATTACGCAACAATCACTGCTCGGTGATGAGGGCTGTGAATACAAGCTTTCAAGCTCTAACAGCATTATGAAATTTGAAAGAAGGAAACCCCCCAGGGTACTTAGAGTGGGCAAGATGCTTCAGATTCTGTGAGTCATGATGACCAGTTGGTGTAATAAAGGGCTGCTCTCTCTCCCTCCCTGAACATCTATCTGTAGTATGCACTGTCTGTCATTCCTCTGGCAGCCATAAGCTTCTCACATGCACCTGTCTGATCCGGATCAATGCCCAAAGGGCAACAAGGACACCTTCCATTCTTTGGCCCCTCCCACAGTACCTCACAAGGAGAGGTTTCTTAACATTAATTGACTATTGTTAACTGCTAATTGAGTACGATACCTTTGAAGCATGGCTGGCTGTATGTTCTATACTATGGACTGTCTATAATTCTGAATTTTCAGAAAAAAGTAAAGATAAACAAGAGAAACAACAGTGTTTATCTAAAATAGGTTTTGTTGCTGATATTAGGTAAAACAAAAAAACAAAACAAAACAAAAAAAAACAAGAGTTTTGTTGTTTAGACTAACCCTGGCTGTACACAAAGATCTTCATGCATCTCAGGACTGTACTCCAAGCCCCAGGTACTTTTTGTTCATGTTCCTCCCTGGACTGAAAATCATCAATCATATCAGCAATGATGCTTCAGTCATTTGTCCCAAGCCCTTGTCTCCAAACATTCTGTTCATCTGCTCTGGATTCTCCTTCCACCCGTGCTCATCTGTATGCCCTCCAGAGAGGCTCCCATGGCACGGTTAGCAATTCTATCCTAAGACAGTTCTCAAACTGCAGCATGCATCAGTGTTCTCTCTGGCTCGTCGATGCACAAACTCCTGGGCTGCCCTGAGAGTCTCTTACTTTTGTGGGTCTGTGGCATGGGCCTAGGCATCTGCATGCTAACAAGGCACCAGCGAGGCTCTACTGTCTGTCTAGATCTCATATTTTGAAGACTATCACTCCCCTCAATGTCACTTATTTCTGCCATGTTTATTGTGTCTGATTTATTTATTCAACCAAGTTTGAAAGACGAATTCTTTAGACAAAGCTCCATGTCCACACAGTGGCAACCATGTGGGATGAACACCACCTCAGCAAATAGTTTAGACAACTGAAGGCTAACTTCGAGCTCCCAAATGCAAGGTGGCTTTCTGGGCCAAGCGACCAGCTATGAGGGAAGCACAGAACCACATATTCAGTCAGCGTTCCCCAGTGTCCAGCACAGGACTATGCCTGTTCCTCTCTCAGGCAGGAATGTTTCCTTTACTCCCTCTCACAAGGTCGACTCCTACTTTTCTTTCAAGCATGAGCTCTCAGAAAACTTGATGCATGAAAGCCTCTCTTTTCCTCCCTATACCAAGTCAAATCCTCCTGCTGTGTGATCTCATAGTCACTGGAGGCCCTGGCTTCATGGCCTTTACCACAGTTATATTTGCTTGTATCAGTGCTTTATCAATAGTCACTCTGTATACTGAAACACAAGCTCCCAATGAATAGCAAGTGCTTTTATTTTGAGAATCACTTTGTTTCCAGTGATGGGTATAGAAACAGGCATATGCAATGTGGTCATATTAATACAAGCCAGCTGAATTTTTCCAGCCCTGAGAAACGTGGTAAGGCATTTTTTCCCCCTACACTCTACCAAAAGCAGGAATAATGAAGCAGAAATCTAATTTACTACTGGTTACCTACCTGTTTTTCAGCTACTCAACATGCAAAATAAGAAATGACTTACCTCTTCTGAATACTTCCTGCAGGCTTTCAGCACTCTGATTTAATACAGCCCAGATTTCCTCCTCCTGGAGAGGTCCACCCCGAACCTCCAGGGCCTCTGCCAAAGACACATGCATATTACCTAGGAAATAAAAGCGGAGATTTATTCACGAGCATCTTAACTGTGCATTTATCAGTAAAGGCTCTATATCTGGGTAAGCTACATACTCCCATCTACCTAATTCTTTAGTGTGCCCTTCAATCTAAACATAACCCTACAGTTTTAAACTTGAATAAGTGAAGGAACTGGGCAAAAGCCCCTTAGAACAACATCTTGGTCTACCTAACATTATTAACCACAGAGACTCTTGGGGAAAGTACTGTGAGTACTTCATGAGGGAAGAAGGAAAGCAGGGGACACAGAGGAAGTCACTACCTGCAGATGATGAATCAGGTCCTTCAAGGCTTTCCAGCACTCAGGTCAAGCTCTCTCCTTTCCATCTCAAACACAGAGAGGAACAGAGAGGAGACCCCACAGATACACAAGAGGAAGCTGGGATAAGAAAAAACCTATTGCTTATACTCATTTACTGCTTCCTATAATCTCTGACACACACGTTACCGAGGGAAATTTTACACTGAAAGGAGTCAGCTGTCCCTAGACTCGGCCGTGCTGTGAATTCCCCCCCTGCTCCTAGGAAAGTCATTGCCCCCCAGCACCTACTTCCCATCTATGCCCTGGGAATGATGATGATGGCAGTGGGGGTGATGCCCCTTTGGGTATCTATGGCAAGAAAAGAGTGTATGCCTGAAACTGTGTTTTGTAATTTAACATCGTACAGAAACTAAATTAACAAGAGACCAGAAAAGTTTCTCTGAGGCTCTGCTTTTTATCATAATTTTCCTCATGTTTCTTTAGGTGATATACTGATAAAACTTAAGATTTTTCTATTGGGCTCAATAATTCTACTTTAATTTGGGAAGAAGGAATTATTGCTTCTTAAAATCCTCCCATATGCATATTCCTGAGCTGATATATCTCAGAGAAATGGATCCTTTACAATGATGGCTAAGACTTGTGCTTCCCCCAATCCACTAAACCATGATACTACTGTAGGAGAGTATTGGTTAGTAGGCAGAAGCCAGCAGGCCTGGAAACGGACTGGAGGAAACTGCATGTGTTAACAAGCACTGTAGTTATCCTAACCATACTCGTTACGTTTTTTTTAAATTAGCTCATTAAGACATCTGGTTTACACAGGCAACTTGCATTTACCCAACTATTGAGAAAACACTTAAGTGATCTGAAGGAGCCAATGGAAAAAAAACGGGGGTGGGTGGGTAACTGGGGAAGGGAAGATAAAACACAGAAGGCAGAGAAAGGGTAAAATAACAGTAAGGATATCTGAAAAAGCTGTAAGCAATTATACTATTACTAATCTACCCAAAACTATCTACAATGCATGTAAGCTGGTATACAAATATACAGATATAGTTTAAATCAAACTTTTCCATCTGGCCAAAAATGCTGCCCAACAGAGCCACACATTGTCTAGCAAAAAACCTAACGCCAGGCATAAGAAGTCCTTGTCTGAGTTGTTGGTCAGGGTTGTCCAAGAGGCTCCTGAAAACACAAGGTTATTCCAATTGCCATTGGTTTTTCTCCCAGAGATGGAAGGCAAGTGCTGAAGACACTGTGCACTTTGGATACAAGGCCCAGAGTCCCTGAGGTGGATCTGATATGAATGCTTCCTCCCTGAGAACTAACTTTCATGATATCAGAAGGTGCCATGCAAGCTTCCAAAGGAGGGAAGCAACCAACAGTCCTACCCAGCTATGATGCCCATGATCCACAACAACAGCCAGTGTGGCATGACATCCTAAGGGTGCAGTAGTGGCACATGTACCTTACAGGTAACCAGCAGCTCTCTAATTGAAACTTAAGGCACATTCTACAAGAGGGAACCATGCCTGGGACTGGAAACCTAGCCAACCAAGTGCTAGTGAAGTCATGGATCCTGGAGAACTTTCATCCTCTAATTTACTAAACTAAGATCATCCTAACAACAAGCTATAAAGATTCGTCCTTGTACCCACAGATAAGTGTAGTCTTCACCCCTCATCAAGGAATCTTGTCTTTGCAACAAATAGAGATCATTATGTACAACTACAACTGATCAAAATGCATGGTTGTGGAGTCAGTCCCAACTGATACATCTACAACACAACACTTGAACAGGAGTAGGGCTCAGGGATCATTGCGGAAGAGGTGGCGAAGGGACAAAGAGACAGAGAGGAACAGGGAGTCTGTGTGAGATTGTGTCTGTTATAAATGTCAAAAGGCTACACCCAGAAAGTCTCACCAACACTGATGCTTAAATGAGCCAAACAAGCACACCAACAGACGTGCTAACATGGAAGGTGGAAAACTCAAGAGGCCTCAAAAAAATATTTAAAAGTTTATATATTTATAATCTAGTCTGAAGAAAAGCAAGTCCAACTACAAGTGAGGCCAACCTTGTCTTCTCACCTATCTGTGTATACGTATAATGTGGAAACTCTAAGGGAAGATAGAAGAGTCTGCTGAGAAAGCTAGAGTTTCTACTTAGCTTAGATAAGGAATGAGGCTGTTTACTCAGACACTGTTTCTAGGTTTCCATGTGCTTCTTTGTAGTAACAGCGTATCATTAGAACAGGAGCTGCACTGCTAAGAGTTATTATCGTCCTCATGAGATATTTTAATAAACTGATGTTTCAACAGAGGCATCGAGATCCTATTAGCAATCAGATACTAGCATGGCTTGTGAGACAGAATGCCCTGAGGCAAGTTTCCAAAGTGTCTGAGAACCGGTTGGATGACTCCTGAGCCATCCGAGGGTGTGTAACACCCTTCAGAAAGACATTGCACAAGCAGGGATTCTTTGAAGAGAATCACGCTGGTTTTCATGTCTTCTCTAGAGCTGAAGGGGTGTGGGAAGAGGCCCTTCCTTTCAACCTGAAGGGAGTGAAAGAGGTTTCATTTGGACCACTTGAAGTGCTTAATGCATTCTCTGGAGCTAGATCAGTATCTGATAAAGATAGTGGTTATCACCCTGAGGTCCCCCAAGAAGGAGGGGGCCACAGTTCTATGGGTGGGGGAGGTGAAAGGCAGGGCAACAGAACTCAGGGAGCAAGTCTGCACAGTGGACACAATGGACACCCTTCCTAGAGGGTGAGAGAGAGTGACCCAGAATGTAGGCAGTGACTGCAGTTGTACAACTCTGTGGAGTTGTACTACACAGCCCCTAAAGGAACTAACACCACTGAGGGGGATATACTAAATGTTGACTTGCATGGACTGTGAATTTCATGTCAAAAAGTTGTTTACGAAACAGGTTCCTCACCTGGTATTGGGTCAAGGGTCAAGTACTTATCCAAAGTACTAGCATAAGCATGCAGGGAAGAGCCAACACTGGGTAAGAACAAGAAGAAGAAGAAAGGGAGAAGAGAAGGAAAGGGAAGGAAGAACGAGGACTATAGTCACTACTAGAGAGTGGCCTGAGAGAGAGGCAGGCTGAGGCCCTCCAGGGTCAGGAGACTGGCTAGCTGGAGGGAGAGGTGTCCTTTCTGGACTGTCACAGGCAGTGTCATTCCAGTGAAAGACTTAAAAGCCTTTCAAAACTGCACGGGTCATCCCTAACCACATACCCAGCTCAGAACCAAGGAGTCAGGGGAAACTGCCTGCCTTTCTCTCTCTTGATTCTCAGTTTTAAGTGTGATGTAGATGGACAGAACAACCGACCAGTGAGGACAACAGCCACCGTCAGCACTGTCTGCCAGCACAGGCATCTAACCAGGGAATGAGAGCTTGAGCTGGTGGAGCAAGCTTGAGACACTGACCTGTGATATGCTGAGGAGGCTCTTTTAATTAGGGACTCCACTGTGCCTTTTAACTTAAGTAACTAATTATTTCTGTTATCAAAAAGTAACGAGAGAAAGATGGACCTGGGGTTTCATATAGAGAGGCAGAGAAACTGCCTTTGAGAAATACAGAGAGAAGTAATGTTATACAAAGTTGCCTATGATCCTACCTTAGGCATACCATTGTGACTGCAATGTATTTGTGGTGTGCATGCATGTGCACACATATATTCACTGAAATTAAAATCTTAAAGCTTTTGTTTATATTTTTAAAGAAACTTGTTTTTAAATTTTCACTAATTTATTCCTTATATAGAAGAAAAATAATTTTTGAAACTAACTTTTCCAATGCTTGGTTTGATGCTGACCCAATGGGTTCTGAACTATATTATATTAACCATATGTTAAATTTTATTTGAAGTAATATGTTTTTTTTTTCAGTATAAAGTTTCTAGGCATTCTTGTGGCTAAAATTTAAAACCAGAAAAATATTTGATTTTCAAAATAGATAACACATTAAGATAACACAATGGATTTTATTTAGTTTACATCTTTACTAGAAAAAAAAAGATTTAAGATTTTTAATAACTGCCTCACCTGGTCACCCAATCTGAGGATAAATTTAAGACAGTCAGCAGATGAAGGGAAGAATTAGTTAGGAAAAGTGTAAGGTTCAGCATTTCAAGTATCACCTTTAGAGACGGTGTTAGACACTGGGCAGTTGTGGGACATGTAGATGACTGACCGTGGAAACGTGTGTGAGTGACGACAGGAACATGTTGGTGACTGCTGCTATTTGCCGATGGTACTCTTTTCCCATAAGCAAATCGATTTTATTTCATTGATGTTCTTGGTATATGGTATATGACAGCTACAAAGTTGATGTTTGCTTTGTTTGTTTGTTGTTGCTTTAATTCTCTCCAGGCAGCACAGAAGAATTAACTCTCAAGAAAGGCTATTAACTAAGAACAACCTTAAGAAACTTCAGAAATCTACTCTAACTCAACAACACAAATACCAACACAGAAGCACAAAATACATGAATAATCTAGGCAACGGGACTTCACCAAAAGTTTGTAATTCTCTAAAATCTAAGTCCAAAACAAAGAAATGGTGAAAATTCCAAAGAATCCAAAACTATCTATCTAATTTTTAAAATTTTCAATGACTCCACAGATGTGAGATCATTCATTAAAAAAAGAAAAAGGTAATTCAAAACAATAAAGTAATCTCTTGA